ATCCTTCGCAGCAGCATGAAAACGTGTTGCTTCCTCTTCCATCTTAATAATAATAATAATAATAATAATAAATCCCTCCTCATCGGCTGCTCTTCCTTGCCACCTCCCCCTTCCTGGCCCAGGCATCTGGCCGCAGTCTCGGGCTCTCGCCCCTCCTCTAGCCACACTCACTTCCTTACTGACTTGCAACTTTGGAGTTTCAGGCCAGACTTCTATATATCCAATTGCCTACTGGAATCTCCTTTTGGATTTGTAATAACTGTTTCCTTTTACCCCATCCCAGCCCCCAACTGCCAACTCCCAACACACACACACACACACACACACACGCACGCACATATGTGCACACACGTCTCCTGCATCATCTCCAGTCTTCCCCAGCTCTCCCAGTTGCTCAGGCGTCATCTTTGACTTTCTCTTTCTTTCACATCCCATATGCAACTAGTTAGCAAATGTTGGTGGCTGTACCTTCAACATTTATCTGGAACCTGGCTGCTTCTTACCACATCCCTGCTGGCTTCCCGGTCCCAGCCTAGTGGTATCTCTGCTTCCAGCTGTGGCCCCTGCCCTCACTATACTCTTAACACAGCGACTAAAGCGATTCTGTAGAAACACAGGTCTGGTGATGTCACTGCTCTGCCCAGAATGCTCCACGGCTTTCCATCTCTGAGTACAATCTGCAAATGGCTACCAGGTGCTGCATGACTTGACTTTTTTTTTTTTTTTTAATTCTGTCAACACCTCATTCTACTCCATAGAATGAGTGTTCCCTGACTTCTTACTATCTCTCTGAATTCATCTACTGTCCTCCCCCTGCTCATACCCCTCTTGCCACAAGCCTCCTTACTGTTTTTGAGCACACCAGGCATGCTTCTGCCATAGGACCTTTGCACATCTGTTCCTTCTGCCTGAATATTCTTCCCCAGGAAACTGCCTGGCTCACTCCATGGCTCACTTACTCCTTAGATCTTTAGTCACCTCCTCAGTGAGGCCCTCCATGACTGCCATATTTAAAATTATAACTGTCTGTACTCTCTAACCCCTGTCCCTACCTTATTGTCATCCAACAAATTACACAGTTTTAAAATAAATGTGTTTATTATCTGTCTCCCTCACTAGAACATCGGCTCCACGAGGGTACGGGATTTAGTCTGTTCTGTTCACTGTTGTAGTCCCAGGGCCTGGCATCACATCGACACAGTTGTTGAATGAATAAATGATCCCAAAGGAACACATCACCTACCTTTGTCACTAAACTCTATTCTTTTCAAACAAAGTGCTTTGCAAAATCCTTATCTTTTTAACAGGACAATTCTAGAGTTTATTTGTTGTTTCAGGTCCTGGCTAATTACCAGAAAGTAGATGTAGACTTCTGTCTCCACCCCCACCCTCTCCCCCTTTATCTCTGAGGAGTCCCTGTTCTGGCCTAGACGAAGCCCCCTTTAATTGATCAGTATAGGCTGTCCTCTATCTCCCCCACGCCGGGGCCCTTCAAAGCTTTCCTGCCTAGAGAAACATCCTGGCCTTTGCTTTGCAGCCTCACCTGAAACTCCTTCTTCCCTCCCAGGCCCCAGTATGTTCCCTGGAACAGAACAGTATTGCGGCTGACTGCAGTTCCCACGTAGCTGTGTGCAGCGTTTGTACCGGAGAGCTTGCTGAGAAGGACTCAAACTGCAGACCAGCTCAAGCCAAACCACAATCGTACTTTTAATGAATCGGCTGAAGCAACCCTATGGAAAAGGACAGTGGGTGTGGAGAGGAAAAGGTCTCATTTATGAAAGATCTTTTGCCAGAGCCTGCTGATGTCACTTACTTTTTGGCTCCTGGGCCAGCCCTTTGGAAACACAGTGCTGTTCTGGGCGAGCCAGGGTCTCAGCCCGTGGG